TTCCTCTGCTAGGCTGACTGACTGGTAAACAGCCAGCAAACCAGACTCCCTAACAATTAGGAGAGCAGTCTGGAAGCCTGGTATGGGCACTGCCCACCTGCACTCCATGAATACAAGGACATCCGACCATGATAGGCCAGAACTCTGGGAATGAGACATTGTTACAATTGTATTTTTAAACAATGTAGATCTCTCCTTTAAATGTCGTGACTTTCCTTTTCTTCCAAATGCTGCAATTGTCTGCTCCTTCCTCTGACACACTGTAAAGAAACACTCTGTAAAATTCCAAAAATATTATCTAAGATGTCAGCATGACTGCGGGACTTTGTGTCACGTCAGTGGTCATGTGTCCAAAAATGTTAGGTCTTGAGTCATGCTAAAACTGCACTTAGATAGAAGGAATGAATCCGTGTTGCTTTGAGTGGGTTTTTTGGGTAGGGATGTGACCTGTCTCCCTATAATCTGGTGTAGAAATGAAACGCTCCCTTTTCTCCCTGTCTCGGCCTCTCGTCTTTTAATGAGCCTCAGGGGAAGAGCCGCCGGTGTGTTGGATGAGGCCGTAACAATCTGTAAAGTGGGGATGCAATCATTCGCTCCACCAGCATAGTTGAGTGACTGAAGGAGAGATTTAACATCTCCAGCACCTTCCCTGACCGTAGGAACGGCCTGGGAGCCTGGACGAGGGTCTTTTGGGCTGGAGCGAGGAAGGGCACCCCTGGAGGGTGAGCAGCAGGGAGCCGTTCAACACAGAAGCAGGACGTTCTGACCCCCGAATGCAAATCTTCTGGCCTCATGTGCAATCTGGCACAGTGGTGGGGTCAGGAGGCTCTTCTGGGGGAGTCTGCCCTGTGCCCCGGAAACCACGTGGTGCTCACACCAGTGACTCGGACACTGTGTGTCTGGAAGTCAACCTTGACCAGTGGCCATGTGTGTACGAGGTTGTATGCACATCCACATGAGTGTATGAGGTTGTTTCTCGGGGCATGGTTTCTAATAGGAAAAAATGGAATTTCCTGAGTCTCCAATGATTAAATGGTGGCTTGGGTTCGTGACGGAATATTTTACAGCCGCTAAAATGGAATTCTGGTGGACTTTTTAATACAGGGATTTGCAAATGCATGTTTAAATGTATTTTCTCTCCTGTTCTCTCTCACACACAGAGGGAAAAAAAGATGATCAAGATGTTAATTGTGCCGGGTTCGGTGGCTCAGCCTGTCATCCCAGCAATTTGGGAGGTCAAGGCGAGTGAATCACCTGAGTCCGCGGGTTCGAGACCTGCCCAGGCAACTTGGCGAGACCTCGTCTCTACAACAAATCAAAAATTAGCCAGGCGTGGTAGCAGGCACCTGTAGTTCCGGCTACTTGGAAGGCTGAGGGGGAAGGATCGCCGGAGCCCGTCAGGTCGAGGCTGCGGTGGCCATGAGCGTGCCACTGCTTTCCAGTCTGGGCGACAGAGTGACACTCCAACTCAAAAACAAAACAAAACAAAAAAATTAATTGTGATTATGTGGTGGGATTATGCTTTCTCATTTTTGTCTTTATCCCGTGTCCTATTGTCTTAGTGCTCTATGCTGAGGATTTTTTTTTTTTTTTTTTTTTTT